AAGAGACGACGAGACTGAGAGAGTGAGAGCTCCTGACAGGACTATGAAGGTGAGATGAGAGAGAGGAGGAGACGGATCAGGATGAAGACGATGATGAGAAGAGAGAGAGAGAGGAGAGGAGAGAGAGAGAGAGAGAGAGAGAGAGAGGAGAGAGAGAGAGAGAGAGAGAGAGAGGAGAGTGTGTTGGTACTGAGTAACGTGTAGAGAGAGAGAGAGAGAGAGAGAGAAGAGAGACGAGAGATGAGAGAGAGGAGAGAGAGAGAGGGGAGAGGAGAGAGAGAGAGAGAAGAAGAGGAGAGAGAGGGGAGAGAGAGAGAGAGAGAGAGAGAGAGAGGAGAGAGAGAGAGAGAGAGGAGAGAGAGAGAGAGAGAGAGAGAGAGAAGAGAGAGAGGAGAGAGAGAGAGAGAGAGAGAGAGAGCATTGTAAATTTGCATGAATATTGGATATATTATTTTCATTCGTTTACCAAACAATTGATTTATTAATATGAGCCCTCCCCCTCCCCCTCCCCCGCACTTCACTTCCTCTTCTCCTCTTCCGTGACCCGCCTCCACCTCCCCCCTTATGCCCCCTCCTCTTCCTTCTTCTGTCCCCCATCCCCCGTGTTTCCTCTTTCTTCTTCTTCTTCTCTCCTCCTCCTTTTCTTCCTCCCCTTCCTCCTCCTCTTTTTCTTCCTCCCCTTCCTTCTCCTCCTCCTTTTCTTCATCCTCTTTCTCCTTCTCCTTCTCCTCCTTTTCTACTTCCTCCTCCACCTCCTTTTCTTCTTCCTCCCTCCCCTCCTCCTCCTCCTCCTCCTCCTCCTTCCTCCTCCCCCTCCTCCTCCCCCCTCCCCTCCCTTCCTTCCTCCCCCCTCCCTCCTCCTCCTCCTTCCCCCCTCCTCCTCCTCCTCCCCCTTCCTCCTCCTTTCTCCTCCCCCCCACTCCCCAGGGCGAGAAGACGCTGGAGAGGATGAAATCCCACCGGGCGCAGCTGAGCGTCCTGGAGAACCGCCGCCAGCAGAACTGCACCATCCTGCTGTCCAAGCTCAAGATGACCAACGACGGACTCATCAGGTGAGGGAGAAGGGAGGGGATGGGGGAGGGGGGGCATGGGAGGAGAGAGAGAGGGAGGAGGGAGGCGAGGGAGAAGGGGGGACTGGGAGGGAGAGGCATGGGAGAGAGAGGAGATGGGGGAAGGAGGAGAAGGGGGAGGGCATGGGGAAGAGAGGGAGGGAGGGAGGGAGAAGGGGAGGACTGGGGGGGCATGGGAGAGAGAGAGAGGGAGGGAGGGAGAGGAGGGTTGGGGCGCATGGGGAGAGAGAGAGGGAGGGAGGGAGGGAGAAAGGGAGGGCTAGGAGAGAGAGAGGGAGGGAGGGGAGGGCATGGGGGAAAGAAGAGGGAGAGGGAGAAGGGGAGGGCTGGGGGCCCATGGGGCCATGGGGAGAGAGAAGGAGGGGAGGGGGAGAGGGCTGGGGGGGCATGGGGAGAGAGAGGGAGGGGAAGGAGAGAGAGGGGGGAGGGCATGGGGGAAAGAAGGGGAGTAGGGGTGGGGAGAGGGAGGGGGAGAGCTGGGGGCATGGGAGAGAGAGGGAGGGGGAGGGAGAGGGGGAGGGCTGAGGTGCATAGGAGAGAGAGGGAGAGGGGAGATGGCTACGGGAAAGAGAGGATGGGGAAGGCTAGGGGGGGGGGGGCATGGGGAGAGAGAAGGGGAGGGAGAGGGAGGATTGCTGGGGGGAGAGAGGAGGGTTATGAGAGGGCCATGGGGGAGAAAGAGAAGGGGGAGGTATAATGGGGGGGCATGGGAGAGAGAGGGAGGAGGGGCGGGCAGGGGAGAGAGAGGAGGAGGGGGGGCATAGGGAGAGAGAGAGGCAGGGGTAGGGAGAGGAAGGAGGGGTGGGGGCATGGGGAAAGAGAGGGAGAGGTGAGAGGGGCTACGGAAAAGAGAGGAGAGGGGAGGAGTACTGGGGGGAGAGGGGGGAGGTTAGGTGCAGGGCATGGGAAAAGATAGGCGAGGGGCGAGGGAGAGGGTGGAGGGCTGGGGGGGGGGGGCATGGGGAGAGAGAGAGAGAGGCGGAGAAGGGGGATGGGCATGGGGAGAGAGAGGGAGTGGGGAAAGGTGGAGGCCTGGGGGGAGGGGGGAAGGTTGCGGGAGAGGAGAGGGCTTGGGGGAGGTTTGGGAAGGTGAGAGAGTGGGAAGGAAGGGAGGGAGAGAGTGGGGACAGGAAGAAGGGAGAGAGTAGGAAGGAAGGGAGGGAGGAAGGGGGGGAAGTTGGGAAGAGGAGAAGGAGAGGAGAGTGGTTTCGAAGTAGAATTTGCGACTGAAATAGGTGGCGCAGAGATCTGAACCCAGGAGGAAATCTGCGTCCAGTGCTGGCAAGGAAAGTGCTGGAACAGGTTATCCAAGAAACTTCATTTGTTTCATTTTTAGTATAGTAATACTAGTGATAATGATGATTTTTATAACAATGGTAATAATGACGACGATGATAATGATAGTAAAATAATAATAAATGATGATGATAATAATAAAGATGATAATAATAGATATAATGATAGTAATGATATAATAAGATAATGATGATTAATAATAATAATAAAGATGACAATGATAGTAATGATAATAGTAACGATAATAATGAGTCATAATAATAATAAAGATGATAATGATAAAAAATGATAATAACGACAATAATAATGAAAGTCATGATAATAAGAATGATCACAATGATAGTAATGACGATAATGAAGATGCTAATGAAAACGACATCCCCGCCCACCCCGCCCACCCCGCCCACGCCCACTCCGCCCACCCCGCCCACGCCCACGCCGGCCACGCCGCCCACGCCCCAGGGTCCTCCTCAAGATGGACAGCGACGGGGAGTTGGCGCCCGACATGGTGGAGCAGCTTCTCAAGTTCACGCCCACCGCCGAGGAGAAGGTCATGCTGGAGGAACACGCCGACGAGATCGAGAACCTCGCCCGCGCCGACAGGTTCCTCTACGAGATCTCCAAGTGCGTCCTCGGTGGTTGGTTGGGTGATTGGGTGATTGGTTGGTTAGGTGATTGGGTGATTGATTGGTTAGGTGATTGGAGGATTGGTGGTGCATTGTGATTCCTGATTGGGCGGTGATTGGTATGATTGGTTGGTTTTGGTGATTGGGATCGATTGGGTGATGGTTTAGGTGATTGGGTGATTGGTTGGTTAGGTGATGGGTGATTGTTGGTTATTGGTGATTGGGTGATTGTTGGTTATTGGTTTTAGGTGATTGGGTGATTGGTTGGTTTGGTGATTGGGTGATAGGTGATTGGGTGATTGGTTGGTTAGGTGATTGGGGAATGATAGGTGATTGGATTGTTGGTGATTGCGTATGGTTAGGTGAATAGGATTGTGATTGGTTGTTAAAGATGTGATTGGTTGATTGGTTCGTTAGATGTGATTGGTTGGTTAGTTGGTTAGGTGATTGTTGGTTGATTGGATGATTGGTTGGTTAGGTGATTGGATGATTGGTTGGTTAGGTGATTGGATGATTGGTTGGTTAGGTGATTGGGTGATTGCATGATTTGTAGGTGATTGGAATTGGATGATTGATTTGGGTTAGGTGATTGGATGATTGATGATTGGGTGATTGGATTTAGGTTAGTGTGATTGATGGGTTAGATTGGTGATGGTGATTGATGGATGATTGGGTTAGGTGATTGGGTGATTGGGTGATTGGATGATTGATTGGTTAGGTGATTGGTGTGATGGTTAGTGATTGGGTGAGTTTGATTGGTGATTGGGTGATTGGTTTAGGTGATTAGGTGATTGGGGTGTTGGGTGATTGGATGATGATTTGATTGGTTGATTGGATTGAGATAGGTGATTGGGTGATTGGTGATTGGTGGTTAGGTGATTTGTGATTGGAATGGTTTGGTTAGGTGATTGGGTTGATTTGGTTGGTAGTGATTGGGTGATTGGATTGATTGATTGGTTAGGTGATTGGGTAATGATTGATTGGTTAGGTGATTGGGTGATTGGATGATTGATTGGTTATGGTGATTGGGTATGATTGGTTGTTAGGTGATTGGATGATGATTTGGTTAGTGTGATTGGATGATTGGATGATTGGTTGGTTATGGGGATTGGGTGATGAGATTGGATGATTGGTTAGGTGATTGGGTGATTGGATGATTGATTGGTTAGGTGATTGGATGATTGATTGGTTAGGTGATTGGATATTGGATTGATTGATTGGTTAGGATGATTGGCATGATTGGTTGGTTGGGGATTGGGTGATTGGATATGATTGGTTGGTTTAGGTGATTGATTGGATGATTGGTTTGTTAGGTGATTGATTGGATGATTGGTTGGTTAGGGTGATTGGATTGGTGGTTGATTGGGTGATTGGATTGGGTTAGCGTGATTGGGTGATTGTGTGATTGGTTGGTTAGGGTGATGATTAGATGATGAATGATTGGCTGGAATGATTGGATGGATTGATTGGTTAGGTGATTTGGTAAGCTGGATTGGCTATGTGAATTATTATGGCTTGATTAGGTGATTGGCTGGGTGATTGAGATGGTTTGGTTAGGTGTGATGGGTGGGGTTAGATTGAAAGGTGATTGGATGGATTGGGTGATGGTTAGGTGATTGGATGATTGTTGGTTAGGTGAAAGGTGACTGGGTGATTGATTGGCTGTTGATTGGTCAAGTGATTGGGTGATTGATTGGATGATTGGTTGGTTGTGGATTAGTTAGGTGATTGGTAGGGGTTGTGTTGATTGTTTTTTTGGTCGGATGACAGAGTTGTTATTGGGTGATTGATTGGTTATCTCCTTGTTTATCTGTTTACGTATTTGCTTAATAGTTTAGTGATTTGCCAATCCAACGCCAGACCACGACGAATGTCCCACGAATGAGAATCTGGTCACTGATCTTTCCTCCCCTTTCCTTTCCCCCCCCCTCTCCCACCCTACTTTCCCCTTTCATCCACCCCCCCCTCGCCCCCCTTCGCTCCCCTTCTCCCCCACCCTACCTTTCCCCTTTCCATCCACCCACCCTTCGCCTCCCCTTCCTCCCCTCTCTCCCCACCCTACCTTTCCCCTTTCCACTCCACCCACCCTTCGCCTCCCTTCCTCCCCCTCTCCCCACCCTACCTTTCCCCTTTCCATCCACACCCCCCCCTTCGCCTCCCCTTTCCTCCCCCTCTCCCCACCCTACCTTTCCCCTTTCCATCCACACCCCCCCCTTCGCCTCCCCTTCTCCCCCCTCTCCCCACCCTACCTTTCCCCTTTCCCACCCACCCTTCCCTTCCCCTTTCCTCCCCCCCCTCTCCATCCCTACCTTCCCCTTTCCATCCCACCCACCCCTTCGCCTCCCTTCCTCCCCCCTCTCTCCACCCTACCTTTCCCCTTTCCATCCACCCCCCCCCTTCGCCTCCCCTCCTCCCCCCTCTCCCCACCCTACCTTTCCCCTTTCCATCCACCCACCTTTCGCCTCCCCTTCCTCCCCCCTCTCCCCACCTAATTTCCCCTTTTCCATCCACCCACCCTTCGCCTCCCCTTCCTCCCCTCTCCCCACCCTACCTTTCCCCTTTCCATCCACCCCAACCTTCGCCTCCCCTTTCTACCCCCTCCCCTCCCTGAATCCCTTTTCCTTCCCACACATCTCCCTAAATGTACCCTTTTCTACCCCCTTCCCCTCCCTTCCCTTCCCTCCCCTTCCCCTTCCATCCCTTCCCACTCCCTCCCCTCCCTAAATCCCCCCTTCCACCCCCTCCCCTCCCTAAATCCCCCCTTCCACCCCCTTCCCTTCCTAAAATCCCCCTACCACCCACTCCCCCCTCCCTAAAATCCCCCTTCCACCCCTCCCCTCCCAAAATCCCCCTCCTCTTCCCCCCTCCCCTCCCAAAATCCCCCCTTCCACCCCCCTCCCCTCCCTAAATCCCTCCTTCCCCTCCCTAAATCCCCCCCTACCACCTCCCCTCCCAAAATCCCCCTCCCTAAATCCCCTCCCTAAATCCCTCCTTCCCCCTCCCTAAATCCCCCCTACCACCCCTCCCCTCCCTAAATCCCCCTTTTCATCCCCTCCCAAAATCCCCCCTACCCCCTCCCCTCCCCTCCCTAAATCCCCCCCCTCCCCCCCTTTTCATCCCCTTCCCCTCCCAAAATCCCCCCCTCTTCCCCCCCACCACCACCACCATCACCACAGGATCGAGCACTACGAGGAGCGCCTCCGCTGCCTGCACTACCAGAAGAAGTTCAAGGAGCGGCTGGCGGAGTGCGAGCCCAAGGTCGCGTCGGTGATCAGCGCCACCAAGGAACTCCGCAACAGCAAGAGGCTCAGGAAGTTCATCGAGGTGGTCCTCGCCTTCGGGAACTACATGAACAAGGGTGAGTGAGGGGGGGGGAGGAGGGAGGGAGGGGAGAGGGGGGAGAGGGAGGGTGGGAGGGAGGGAGAGAGGGAGGAGGGAGAGGAGGCTCAAGAAGTTCATCGAGGTGGTCCTCGCCTTCGGGAACTACATGAACAAGGGTGAGTGAGGGGGGGGAGGGAGAGGAGGAGGGGGGAGAGGGAGAGGGGGAGGGAGAGGGAGGGGGGAAGGGAGGGGAGGGAGAGGAGGGACAGAGGGAGAGGGAGGGAGAGGGAGGCTCAGGAAGTTCATCGAGGTGGTCCTCGCCTTCGGAAACTACATGAACAAGGGTGAGTGAGGGGGGGGGGAGGGAGAGAGAGGGAGGGGGAGGAGGGATGGAGAGGAAGGGGGAGGGAGGGAGGGGAGAGGGAGGGAGGGAGAGGGAGGCTCAGGAAGTTCATCGAGGTGGTCCTCGCCTTCGGGAACTACATGAACAAGGTGTGAGGGGGGGGGAGGAGAGGGAGAGGAGGGAGGAGGAGAGGGAGAGGGAGGGAGAGGGAGAGGAGGGAGGAGAGGGAGGCTCAGGAAGTTCATCGAGGTGGTCCTCGCCTTCGGGAACTACATGAACAAGGGTGAGTGAAGGGGGGGAGGGAGGAGAGGAGGGGAGAGGAGGGAGAGGGAGGAGGGAGGGAGAGGGAGGCTCAAGAAGTTCATCGAGGTGGTCCTCGCCTTCGGGAACTACATGAACAAGGGTGAGTGAGGGGGGGAGGGAGGGAGAGGGAGAGGGAGAGGGGAGGGAGAGGGAGGGAGGGGAGAGGGAGGAGAGGAGGAGGAGAGGAGAGGGAGGCTCAGGAAGTTCATCGAGGTGGTCCTCGCCTTCGGGAACTACATGAACAAGGGTGAGTGAGGGGGGGGAGGGAGGGAGAGGGAGGGAGAGGGAGGGGAGGAGGGAGGGGAGGGAGGGAGGGAGAGGGAGGATGGGGGGAGGGATAGGGAGAGAGAGGGAGAGGGAGGAGGGAGAGGGAGGAGAGGGAGGGAAGGGAGGCTCAAGAAAGTTCATCGAGGTGGTCCTCGCCTTCGGGAACTACATGAACAAGGGTGAGTGAGGGGGGGGAGGGGGAGGGAGGGGAGAGGGAGGAGGGAGAGGAGGGAGAAGGAGTGGGGAGGGAGAGGGAGAGGGAGGGAGGGAGGGAGAGGGAGGAGGCTCAAGAAGTTCATCGAGGTGGTCCTCGCCTTCGGGAACTACATGAACAAGGTGAGTGAGGGGGGGAGGGGGGGGAGGGGAGAGGGGAGAGGGAGGGAGAAGGAGGGGGAGGGGAGGCTCAGGAAGTTCATCGAGGTGTCCTCGCCTTCGGAACTACATGAACAGGGTGAGTGAAGGGGGGAGGGAGAGGGAGGGAGGGAGAGGGAGAGGGAGGGAGGGAGAGGAGGCTCAAGAAGTTCATCGAGTGGTCCTCGCTTCGGGAACTAATGAACAAGGGTGAGTGAGGGGAGGGAGGGAGGGAGGGAGGGAGAGGGAGGAGAGGGAGAGGGAGGAGGGAGGGAGAGGGGAAGGGAGGGGAGAGGGAGTCAAGAAGTTCAGAGGTGGTCCTCGCCTTCGGGAACTACATGAACAAGGGTGAGTGAGTGGAGGGAGGGAGAGGGGAGGGAGAGGGAGGGAGAGGGAGGAGGAGGGAGGGAGGGGAGGGAGGGGGGGAGGGAGGGAGAGAGGAGAGGGAGAGGGAGAGGGAGGAGAGGGGAGGGAGTCTCAAGAAGTTCATCGAGGTGTCCTCGCCTTCGGGAACTACATGAACAAGGGTGAGTGAGGGGGGGGAGGGAGGGAGAGGGAGGGGGAGGGAGGGAGGGGAGGGAGAGGAGGAGGGAGGAGAGGGAGGGATAGGGGGGGAGGGAGCGAGAGAGAGGGAAGGAGGGAGGAGAGGGAGGAGAGGGAGGGAGCTCTCAAGAAGTTCATCGAGGTGGTCCTCGCCTTCGGGAACTACATGAACAAGGGTGAGTGAAGGGGGGGGAGGAGGGGGAGGGAGGGAGAGGGAGGGAGAGGGTGGGAGGAGGGGAGGAGGGAGGGAGGGAGAGGGAGAGAGGAGAGGGGGAGAGGGAGAGGAGAGGAAGGGAGAGGGAGAGACTGATAGGCTGAGAGAGAGAGAGGAGAGAGAAAGAGGAAAGAGAAGAGAGAGAGAGAAGAGAAAGAGAAAGAGAAAAGAGGAGAAGAGAAGAGAAAGAGAGAGAGAGAGAGAGAGAGAGAGAGAGAGAGAGAGAGAGAAAGAGAGAAAGAGAGAGAGAGAGAGTTTTGAGGTATATCGCTTGCCCCTCTGACATTCTCACCGTCATGCACCCCCCCTCCCCCTCCCCTTCAGTCTCTCCCCACCCCAGTAACCCCCCCCCCTCTAACCTCCTTACCCCACCTGCATTTAATCTCACCCCCTCTCATAACCTAACCTCCACCCCTCCCCCTCCTCCCTTTGCGATCTCATCCTCTCCAACTTCACCCCCCCCTGCACCCCATCCCAACTTCACGCCCATCCACCCCCTCCCTCAGCCTCCCAACTTCACCCACCCACCCTCACCCCCTCCACCCCTACCCCCCCCTTCTCCCCCCCTCCCTTCTCACCCCTTCCAGCCTCCGAGACACCGCCCCCGAGGCACTAACGCCCCCCTCCATTCCCCACCCCCCTCCCAGCCTCGAGACACCGCCCCCGAGTCACTAACGCCCCCCTTCTCCCCCTTCTCTCCCCCCTCCCACCAGGCGCGCGCGGGGGTGCGTACGGCTTCCGGGTGTCGTCCCTGAACAAGCTCACGGACACGAAGGCCTCCAGCAACCGGGCCATCACCCTCCTGCACTACATGATCCGCGTGTGTGAGAAGCAGTGGAGGGACGTCGTGCGCCTCGACGAGGACTTCCCAGCGTCAAGGAGGCGGCCAAGGTCAAGTAAGTTAGGGGGGGGATGGAGGGAAAGAGGGGAGGAGGGGAAGAGGGGGAGGAGGGAAGGGGGGGAGGGAGGAGGAGAGGAGGACTTCCCCAGCGTCAAGCGAGGCGCCAAGGTCAAGTAAGTGGAGGGGGGGATGGGAGGGGAAGGGGGGCGGAGGGGAAAGAGGGGGGGAGGGAAGGGAAAGGGGGAGGAGGGAGGAGGACTTGTCAAGGAGTCCGCCAAGGTCAAGAAGATGAGGGGAGGGAAGAGGGGGGGAGGAAGGGAAGGGAGAGGAGGGAGGAGGAAGAGGACTTGACCCCAGCGTCGAGGAGGCCGCCCAAGGTCAAGTAAGTTGAAAATGGGGGACGGGGATAGAGAGTGGGGAAGAGGGGGGAGGGAACGGAAGAGGGGAGAGGAGAGGAGAGAGGACTTCCCCAGCGTCAAGGCAGGCCGCCCAAGGTTCAAGGTAAGTGGAGGGAGGAAGTAGACGGACCGGCGAGGGGAAAGGAGGGGATGGGAAGGAAGAGGAGAGGGTGAGAGGGAGGTAAAAGGGGGAGGAGGCAGGAGTAGAGGAGGGCTTGACCAGCGTCAAGGAGGCCGCCAAGGGGTCAAGTAAGTGAGGGGGGAGGGTGAGGGTGAAGAGGGGGTGAGAGGGAGGGAAGAGGGGGGGATAAGGGAAAGGGGGTGAAGAGGGAGGGAAAGGGGGGAGGAGGGAGAGAGGGAGAGGAGGGACTGACCAGCGTTCAAGGAGGGCCGCAAGGTCAGTAAGTGAGGGGGAGGAGGGGAGGGGGAGGGGAGGCGAGAGAAGGGTGAGATGGGAGGGAAAGGGGGCAGGAACCAGGGAGGAGAGAGGAGGCTTGACCAGGCGTCAAGGAGGCCTGCCAAGGTCAAGTAAGTGAGCGGGGGGAGGGACAAGGGGGCAGCAGGGTCAAGAGGGGGTGACGAGGGAGGAGGAGGAGGAGCGGAGTAGAGTGAGAGGAGGGTTGACCAGCGATCAAGGAGGCCGCCAAGGTCAAGTAGGTTGAGGGGGGAGGGGAAAGGGGAGGAGGGAGGGGAAGGGAAGGTAGAAGAAGAGGAGGAGGTAAGAGGGATAGTAGGAGAAGGAAGGAGAGAAGAGGAATAGAGGAAGGAGGGGTTGAAGGAGGGTCAGAAAGGGTGGGGGGAGGGGAAGAGGATGCGAAAGAGGGAAGAAGAGGAAAGAGGGAATCAGAATCAGAATCAAGACGTTTATTTAGCCATAAAACAGTAATTATATTGAGGTAAAAATACATATATTGATACATGGCTGGGCCCTCCTGGAGTACAAATCTCTTAGGAAGACCCCTTGTATGAATTTATACAGAACATTTTATATGAGCAATAGATATGCATTACATATGATATAGGTACTTGACTTATTATATATTGCATGAGTATATACATATATGATTTAGCTTATAAGCACTTTATAAAGGTAGGAAACTTTGTAGAAGTATCCCAAAGTGAATCGATAAAAGGTTGACCAATAAAGAGAAAGTACAGAGAATGTGATACATAAAACATAAACGGGAGGAAGAAAGGAGAATCATTACTCATTATAAAAAAGGTAATAGCTATTGTTTTAATTTGTACTTAGATGAAGAAATTGTTGGAACGTTTCTTATTTTCTCAGTTAGATTATTGCACAATACAGCAGCGTGATAATCGATGTGGGACATTCAGTAGAGTATTGTGTCTCATAAAATACCTCTGATGCATCCTAAAACTAACATTGTATTTCCTACCACATTAAGACATTTTTTTTTTAAAGAATGTAAGCAACACCAATATACATTTATTTCACAGAGTTTCAAAAGATTCTAAAGATCAGTAAATCATTCGTGTGTATGATCAAATTTATTTCGTCCTTTGTACGAACACTTCGCTTTTGTGCTACAAAGAAAGAATTTTAAGGCGTTTTTATGCGTTGCTCCCCAAACTGTTTGAAAATACGTTGTGTGGGTGTAGTAAAAAAAAGCGTAAATCTATTTCAAAGCATTTTTATTTAATGTTTGTTTTGAATGGTACATTAAGCCCCATTGCTCATTAATCTTGGATTGAATGTGATTAATATGGCATTTCCGGTTCAGTTGGGGATCTAAAGGACTACCAAGAACCTGCTGTTATTTCATTTTATAACAGATGTTCTCAAGGTGATCTCTGGGAGGTCTTGTCTACAGTGAGGGTTAATTTATTTAGCCAAAGCCACTTTCTGATACTGATTAATTCATTATCTGCTACGTCTATTGACTATTGTATAGACCTACTGAAACTGGGCATGTTTGAGTCTAGAGGAGTTAATTATATCAATTGATATATATTAGGGAAGGGAAGGGAAGGTGGGAGGAGGGACGGAAGGAGGGAAGGAGGGAAGAAGGGAAGGAGGGAAGGAGTGGAATAGGAGGGTCAGGATAGGAAGGAAGGGAAGAGAAGGGAAAAGAGGAAGGGGGAGGGGAAGGAGGAAGAGGGGGAGGAGAAGGGGCTGGAAGGAAGAGGAGGGGGAAAGAAGGGGTTGGAAGAAGAAGAGAGGGAAGGAGGAAGGAAGAACGGGGAAGGAGGAGGGCAAGAGAGAAAGAGATAGGAGGAGGAAAGAAGGAGAAAGAAAAGGGGAGGAAGGGGGTGGAGGCGAAGGATAGACGAGAGGGGAGAAAGGGCAGAAGGGAAGGAAGGAAAGGAGAGGGAAGGCGGAGGGGCAGGAGGGAGGGAAGGGAGGAAAGAGGGAAGAGAAGTAGAAAGAGGAGGCATTAAAAAGGGAAGGATGCGAACGAGAGGAAGAAGCAATGATGATAATCGTGACTTTATTGCAGGTTTAAGTGGTGATGATAGAATGGTATTTATGATAATGATGATTGATGTGGTGTAATAATGATGATTATAGATAAAAAGATATAAATGGTATAGTATTTTGATTACAGTAGTGATCTGATTGTAATTGTGGTAATGATAACAGTACTTTTCAGCATTTTCAGTGTAGCTAATACATACAGTATTCTCTTTAGAGCAATGAAAGTAAACATCATAGTCGTATTTAGGAAAATTACCGACAAACACATAAGTGGAAAAAATACTAATTTTCCTACTTTCTCCCCACTTCACCCTCCCCCCCCCCCCCCCCCTAATTTTCACTTTTTCACTCCCTCCTCCCATTTCTCCCCTCCTTCATTCCACGCCCCCGTATATTCCTTTCCCTCTCCCTCCCTTCTTTTTGTATTCTTTCCTTCTTTCCTCCCTTCCACATTCATTCCCATTCCCCTCTCCCCTTTTCTCCCCCTTCCCCCCTTCCACTCCCTCCCCTTCCCCCTCTCTCCCTCCCCCTTCCCCCTCTCCCCCCTTCCATCTCCCCTTCCCCCTCTCCCCTTCCATCTCCCCCCTTTCCCCATCTCCCCCCTTCCCCTCTCCCCCTTCTCCCCTCCCCACCCCCTCATCCCCCATCCCACCCCCTCCTCCAGCATCACGGAGTTGGAGCGCGAGACGAGCAGCCTGCGGTCGGGGTTGGAGTTCATCGAGCGGGAGGTGGCGTGGCACCGGGGACAGGGCACCACTCCTCCCGGGGACCGCTTCCGCCTCGCCATGAACGAGTTCACGGCCCTCCAAGGACAAGTTCGCCAACCTGGACGCCGCCTCGAGACCATGAGGAAGGAGGTGAGGAGGGGGGGGGGGGGGGGGGAGAGGGGGAGGAGGAGAGGGAGAGAGAGGGAGGGAGAGAGAGGGGGAGGGGAGAGGGGGGAGGGAGGGGCGAGGGGAGGGAGAGGACGATAGTGAGAGAGAGAGATATGTGAGAGAGAGAGATAGTGGAGAGAGGAGATAGTGAGAGAGAGGAGAGAGAAGAGAGAGAGAGATAGTGAGAGAGAGTAGTGAGAGAGGAGATAGTGAGAGAGAGAGAGAAAGAGAGAGAAGAGGAGAGAGAGAAGAGAGAGAGAGAGAGAGAGAGAGAGAGGAGAGGAAGAGAGAGAGAGAGAGAGAGAGAGAGAGAGAGAGAGAGAGAGAGAGAGAGATAGAGATAGAGAGAGAGAAGAAGATCGAAAGAGAAGGAGATAGAAAGAGTAGATAGATAGATAGAAAGAGTAGATAGATAGATAGATAGAGAGAGAGAGAGGTCGCTGGCCTGACTGACCCTTCCGCCCCCGTGTTGTGTGTGTGTGTGAGAGAGAGAGAGAGAGAGAGAGAGAGAGAGAGAGAGAGAGAGAGAGAGCGAGAGAGAGAGAGAGAGAGAGAGAGAGAGAGAGAGAAGGAAAGAAAGAAAGAAAGAAAGAAAGAAAGAAGGAGATAGAAAGAGTAGATAGATAGATAGAAAGAGTAGATAGAAAGAGTAGATAGATAGATATAGAGAGAGGTCGCTGGCCTGACTGACCCTTCCGCCCCCCCCGCTGCAGTTCGAGGCCGCCGCGACCCTGTTCGGCGAGGACGCGAAGGCGACGCAGCCCGAGGACTTCTTCGGGACCTTCGACTCTTTCATCGACACCTTCCGAGACGTGAAGAAGGACCTGGAGAACATGAAGAAGAAGGAGGAGGAAGAGGAGAGGAAGAGGAAGGAGGCCGAG